ATCATCTGCATATGACATAGTGTAGCTGTTTTTTGTGTTCTTGAATCCTAGGCAAATCACTGTAATTTTCTTGGCAAGGATTCTCAGAAGTGGTTTGCCACTTTCCCAGAACTGAGAGTGACTGGCCCAAGGTAATCCAGCTGGTTTTCCGCCTAAGGTAGGGCTGGAACTCAGTCTTCCAGTTTCTCGTCCGGTTGCCTTAACCACTAGACCAGACTGGCTCTCCTGATGTAGCTCTAGGTGTCCAAAATATTTGCACGTACATTACAAATATGTGGTAGGCCCTGAGTGTAGGTAAGGATTTTATGGAGATGGTTGTGAATATGCATTTCAGGGTTATGTTAATCTATGGTAGCAAAGATTCAGCAGGAGTCTGGTAGCACCTGTCCTGGCTGACCCTTTTTATTCAAAGACATATTTACTTGATTGTGAGATAAGTGGCTATGTAGATATGAATAAATTAAGCTTTTGTGCGCTGCGTCTTGCTTTAGCACAGTGAGCGGCAGCTGACAAAAGCTTATATCTTGGAATATTTATATTAACATTTATATTAACATTTCACCTATATTAGTAAAACACAATAAAATGTCTTTGTTAAAAACATCTGTGTTCAAATATCAATGTCTAGTCCATCTAACCATTGAGGCACAGCATCATTTATATTTTTTAAAAAAAATCAGATACTGCACAAGCTTACAGCCCGTCACAATGTGATCTATCATTTGTTGTGGGACCCCGGAATAGAAGAGAATAGAGAATAGAAGAATAGAATAGAATAGAATAGAATAGAATAGAATAGAACTGGAAGGGACCTTGGAGGTCTTCTAATCCAGCCCCTTGTTCAAGCAGGAGAACCTATACTTCTCACACAGGTGATTGTCCAGTCTCTTCAAAACCTCCAGGGATGGAGCGCCCACGATTTCTGGAGGCAAGCTGTTCCACTGGTTGATTGTCCTCATTGTCAGGAAGTTTCTCCTTAATTCCAGGTTGCTTCTCTCCTTGATCAACTTCCAACCATTTTTTCTTGTCCTTCCCTCTGGTGCTCTGGTGAACAACCTGCCCCCCTCTGCCTTGTGGCAGCCCCTCAGATACTGGAACACTGCTATCATGTCTCCCCTATTTCTTCTTTTCTTTAGACTAGCCAAACCCAAGTCCCGCAGCCGTTCGTCGTATGTTTTAGTCTCCAAGCCTTTGATCATCTTAGGATACTATGCCCCATTTATACAGAGAGTCTCGGCAGACACAATGTGAGCTGTGAATCCTATTCATGATTGTCTATTGCTGGTGTGGTAGTTCAAAGCCTGGCCCTTTTTGTGTGAGGTCATTTATATGTCTTCCTTATAACTGGGCATCTAGCAACCCATTTGACTCTCCATTGGGAATCAGTGTTAAAGTTGTTGGGCGGATGTTGCGCCAGTGCCAGTGGGGGCTTCCTAAATTTGAGTTTTCCAGCTGATAAATGGATAAGGTTGGCACTCGAAAAATTTATCCTTAGTTCTAGGTTGCTATTCAAGGAGAGAAGCAACCTAGAACTAAGGAGAAATTTCCTGACACAACAATTAATCCTTGGATCAACCTGCCTCCAGAGGTCGTGGCCACTCCAACAACAGTGGAGGTTTTTAAGAAGAGATTGGACAACCATTTGTCTGAAATGGTAGAGGGTTTCCTCCCTAAACCCGGGGTGGGGGGGTGAGACTAGAAGACCTCTAAGGTCCCTTCCAACTCTGTTATTCTGTTAAAAAGGTGTTACTGGACCGATTTTTATTTTTATTTTGCAAGACTGCATTACTGCATCTATTGCGTTTGTGGTGAGATAAATTTCTTTCAGATAGGTAGAAATGGGAAAAAGGAGAATTGGAGTGAATTTAAAAGTTGAGGGCTCTGGTAAAGAGAATTGTAATTTGTGAGTGTGTAAAGAAGATATGAGCGTATGTGTTGTTTAGGATGTCCTGAAGGGTGAGGTGATTTAAGTTTTGGCTTCTTTATGACTCTTTGAAGGGAAGCCTAGAGGTGAGACCGTTGCTATAAACCAGTGTTTCTCAACCTTGACAATTTTAAGGCATGTGGACTTCAACTCCCAGAATTCCACAGCCAGCAATGCTGGCTGTGGAATTCTGGGAGTTGAAGTCCACATGCCTTAAAATTGTCAAGGTTGAGAAACACTGCAAACAATTACGTTGAGATTTAAGGCAGCCTTAAAATTTAGATGCCCTTCCCCTTATAAAGATGTTGCCGCTTATATGTGTCTGCTGGAAAGGTGGAGGCAGTGATATATTTTAGTTTCTGGATTTTCTGAATGTACACTCTCCCAAAATATAAGCTGGGTTTATGCACCGTACAAAGTTCAAACTGAACACTAACAAAGCTTAGGCTGATAAAGGAGAGAATATTTGTAGCTTGGGGTTGAAATGAGAGGTCCTTGGAGATTTCAGAGCGTGGTTGTTTTCTTGCAGAACTTTCATGACCCAAACTAGGCAACATCATCAGTGTTAGTCAACTAGTCATCATTAACCAGCACTGATGAGGTTACATTTATCAGCCAGAATAGAATGGAATGGAGGGGAGAGGAGAGGAGAGGAGAATAAGAGTGGAGTGGGATGGGATGGGATAGAATAGAATAGAATAGGAAAGAATAGAATAGAATAGAATAGAATAGAATATGAAAGAATAGAATAGAATAGAATAGGAAAGAACAGAACAGAACAGAATAGAATAGAATAGAATAGAGCTGGAAGGGACCTTGGAGGTCTTCTAGTCCAGCCTCCTGCTCAAGCAGGAGAACCTATACCATCTCAGACAAGTGACTGTCTAGCCTCTTCTTAAAAATCTCCAGTGATGAGCACCCACAATTTCTGGTGGCAAGCTGTTCCACTGGTTGATTGTCCTCACTGTCAGGAAGTTTCTCCTTGATTCCAGGTTGTTTATTTCCTTGATCAGTTTCCAGCCATTGTTTCTTGTCCTTCCCTCTGATGCTCTGGTGAATAATGTGACCCCCTCTTCTTTGTAGCAGACCCTCAGATACTGGAACACTGCTATCCTGTCTCCCCTATTTCTTCTTTTCTTTAGACTAGCCAAACCCAAGTCCCGCAGCCGTTCTTCGTATGTTTTGGTCTCCAGGCCTTTGATCCTCTTAGTTGCTGTTCTCTGAAGCTTTGTTAGTGTTCCGTTTGAACTTAGCACGTTGCATAAATCCAGCTTAGGCAAGAAAACAACCAAGCTCAGAGAACACCACGGACCTTTCAAAGCTCAGGCTGTCATATACGAAGCATAGTTAATAGGCTTGGTTGACTATGTTGTTCAGTAGAAAATCCCCAGTCCTGCTGTGTTTTAACAGCAGTACCGCAGCGTCTGACTCACTTGTGTTTTCAGAGAGAAAAAAACATTGACACGATGGCGGTGCCTCTCTCTTAAACCCTAGTTCTGTCTGAGTGGTTGAATTCAGGCCTAATTCACAATAGACCCCAATATTGTAAATTAGTTTGCGTTTCAATTTGACCAGGCTGATAGTGGACTCGTTTGGGTTTGGGTTCATTAGTCATTCTGAAATGCGTGCTGTTGTCCCCACAATGTACAGGTAGTCCTCGACTTACAACAGTTCATTTAGTGACTGTTCAAGTTACGACGGCACTGAAAAAAATGTGACTTAACGACCGTTTTTCGTAGTTGCGACCTTTTGCAGCATCCCCATGATCACGCGATCAAAATTCAGATGCTGGTTCCTATTTATGACCTTTGCTGCGTCCCGGGGTCGTGTGATCTCCTTTTGCGACCTTGTGACAAGCAAAGTCAGTGGGGAAGCCAGAGTCACTTAACCTGGTTACTAACTTATCAACTGCAGTGATTCGCTTAACAACTGTGGCAAGCAAAGTGGTAAAATGGGGCAAAACTCACTTAACAAATGTCTCGCTTAGCAACAGAAATTTTGGGCTCAGTTACGGTTGTAAGTCAAGGACTGCCTGTATTCACAGTTGATCTGTGCTGAAATTTCAGACGCCTGCTAACTTTTTTTTTCTTTTGCTGTGGGTCTGTGGCAAAGAATTCATGCAAGTTCACACACCCGCAGTCAAACCTCAAGTGCTTTTACTTAGCACGGGTGTGTTCCAGCCGGTCTTTACGACCTACATTTTCTGAGCTCTATTCCTTCCTCCTTGGAAGAGCTTTAAGAAGCACGCATTCAGACATCCACAGCTCTGGGAGCTGTAGATGGTTCTCTGCTTCCCATCCTTGAGACAGAATCACAGGTCAGAATAACAGTTGGAAGGGACCTTGGAGGTCTTCTAGTCCCAACCTCCTGCTCAAGCAGGAGACCCTAGCCTAGACCATTTCGGACAAGTGGCTGTCCAGTCTCTTTTTGAAACCTTCTAGTGGATTGGGAGCATCCACAACTTCTGGGGGCAACTTCTGTCCCACTGATTAATTGTTCTGATTTCTCCTTAGTTCCAGGTTGCTTCTCTCCTTGATTAGTTTCCATCCGTTGTTTCTTGTCCCGCCTTCTGGTGCTTTGGTCTTCTCAAACCAGGGTAGTAAGTCGTGAAAGCAACTCCGCCTCGCGGCTCCACTTAAAAAAATAAATATATATAAAAAATAAAAGCCGTAGGTAAACATCAAAGGAGCATCTAGATCAGGTGCCCCTCCTCCTCCTCCTCCTCCTCTTCTTCTTCTTCTTCTTCTTCTTCTTCTTCTTCTTCTTCTTCTTCTTCTTCTTCTTCTTCTTCTTCTTCTTCTTCTTCTCTTCCTCCTCCTCCTCCTCCTCCTCCTCCTCCTCCTCCTCTTCTTCTTCTTCTTTCTTGTTCTTCTTCCTCTTCCTCTTCCTCTTCTCCTCCTCCTCCTCTTCTTCTTCTTCTTCCTCTTCCTCTTCCCCTCCTCCTCCTCCTCCTCGTCCTCCTCTTCTCCTTCTTCTCCTTCTCCTCCTTCTCCTTCTCCTTCCTCCTCCTCCTCCCTCTTTCCTCTTTTCTCCTCCCTCTTTCCTTCTTGTGTCGAATCTTTGACCCTGGTAACGAACCTGACTTTCCCTCTGCTGGTGAAAGTGTGGCAGAGAAACTCGAGCTTGTTTTTACTTGCCCTGGGTTTGGCTGCTTTCAGGCTTGGGAGGAAGAGGCAGCAACGGCAACAGAGATGGCGCGGCTGGTCGCAGTTTGCAGAGACAGCGAGGAAGAATTCCTTTTCGAGCGGCTGCAGATCCCCCTCTACATCGATGACACCCTGACGGTGAGTGAGTTGTGGGCCACTTCGCTCTGCGCTGGAGCACGGGGCGCTTGCAACACAGCACAACGGGTGTTTTGCAATCCTTAGGCAAGCAATTCTCTCTCCCCCCCCCCTTTTTCCTTGCAACGCTCACAGCAGACTCTGGAAAGGCCTGCGGCCCCGCCTCGGAGCCCTCCCCTTGCAGTAATTGGTACACTCGGATTGCCTCCAACGCCCGTAATGTGCCTTTTTTCCCTTATCCACGTCTGGGAGACACATGCATGCACGCACACATACACACACACACACACAGACAGAGAGAGAGAGAGACGGGCAACACACATGCACTCAGTCGGGAGGCCCTAAGCCAGAGAGTCGAAGCCATTTTGGAACTGGAGTGTCCATCGCCTGGCGGCAACCTTGTGTGGCTTTGTGGGGTGGGGTGGGGAAACGAAGGACCCACACATGGGACTGCGGTGGGGAGGGGAGACGATTGCTGGGTGGTTTGGTTTTGCTTTTCAACTCTCGGATGGGGTCAGGTTGTCCTCGTCCCCAGACGGTGGAGGGTGAACGTCAGCGGCTTGGCACACCTGTCCAGTTTTGCACACTTCTGTTTCGAAGGAGGTGCATTTTAATTTTTCTTTCTTTTTTTTTAAAAAAAAAACGTGGATGGAAGAGGGTTGGGTTGCAGGGTCGGGATGCTTATATTACCCACTTGCAGGCTGGTGTGATTTTGCAAGATACAGGCTTGGGCAGGGAAGATCCCAATTCCCAGCGGAGCAAAACACCAACGTCGTAGAGAAATTTCTTCCTAACTTTGAAGGCGACGTCCCCCCAAAATTTCAGAGTTTACTTGTGGATTTTTTTTTTAAGCTTTCTCCACTCATTTAATACTCTTCCAATCTGTTCTCCTTCTTTCCTTCCTTCCTTCCTTCTCTCCCCACTCCCTGTCTTCTTCCTTTTTCTTTCTTTCTTTCCTTCCTTCCTTCTCTCCCTCCCCCCATCTTCCTCCCTCTCTGCCCTGCTTCCTTATCTTTCTCTTCTTCTTTACCCTCCTCTTTCTTTCTTTCTTTCTTTCTTTCTTTCTTTCTTTCTTTCTTTCTTTCTTTCTTTCTTTCTTTCTTTCTTTCTCTTTCTTTCTCTCTCTCTCTTTCTCTTTCTCTCTCTCTTCTTTCTTTCTTTCTCCTTCCTTCCTTCTCTCCCACCTCCCTGTCTTCTTCCTTTTTCTTTCCTTCCTTCCTTCTCTCCCTCCCTCCATCTTCCTCCCTCCCTCCCTGCCCTGCTTCCTTATCTTTCTCTTCTTCTTTATCCTCTTTCTCTTTCTTTCTTTCTTTCTTTCTTTCTTTCTTTCTTTCTTTCTTTCTTTCTTTCTTTCTTTTTCTTTTTTCTTTCTCTCTCTCTTTTTTCTCCTTCCTTCCTTCTCTCCTCCCTATCTTTTTCCTTCCTTCCTTCCTTCCTTCCTTCTCTCCCTCCCTCCATCTTCCTCCCTCCCTGCCCTGCTTCCTTATCTTTCTCTTCTTTACCCTCCTTTTTTTTTTCCTTTCTTTCTTCCTTTCTTTCTTTCTTTCTTTCTTTCTTTCTTTCTTTCTTTCTTTCTTTCTTTCTTTCTTTCTTTCTTTCTTTCTTTCTCTTTCTTCTTTCTTTCTCCTTCCTTCCTTCTCTCCCCCTCCCTATCTTCTTCCTTTTTTCCTTCCTTCCTTCTCTCCCTCCCTCCATCTTCTTCCCGCCCTCCCTGTCCTGCTTCCTTATCTTTCTCTTCTTCTTTACTATCCTTTTCTCTCTCTCTCTCTCTCTCTCTCTCTCTCTCTCTCTCTCTCTCTCTCTCTCTCTCTCTCTCTCTCTTCTTTCCTTCTCCTTCCTTCCTTCCTTCCTTCCTTCCTTCCTTAAGACAGTTTAATCTTAAACAGAGGGCTCTTTGGCTTGGAGATCACTTTCCCATGAGAGGCCTTTTTGGATTCCTGGTCCAGATTGTTGGGTGCCTCCAGCACAATGTATGCAGGTAGTCCTCAACTTAAGACTACAATAGAGCCCAAAATGTCTGTTGCTAAGTGAGACAGTTGTTAAGCGAGTTTTGCCCCCATTTTACCACCTTTCTTGCCACAGATATTAAGTGAATCACTGCCCTTATTAAGTCAGTAACACGGTTGTTAGGTGAATCTGGCCTCCCCATTGACTTTGCTTGTCAGAAGGTCGCAAAAGGGGATCACATGACCCCCGGGGACACTGTAACTGTCGTAAGTACATGCCAGTTGCCAAGCACTCAAATTTTGATCATGTGACCATAGGGATGCTGCAACTGTCCTAAATGGGAAAAACGGTCACTTTTTTTCGGTCCCTTTGTAAATTACAATGGTCACTAAATAAATGGTCATAAGTTGTATCGCCAAAGATTAATTTAGATACTTATTGAAACCTTGTTGAACTGCGGTCCTTCACTATTAACCGAGGTGGAAACCTGGTTGCCCTTTGTATGCTTTGGATTATAATTTCTCAGCCTTCTTATTAATAGGAATTAAATGAGTTGGGCTGCCTAAGCCTGGAAAACAATAGTTCTCTATTATTATTATTATTATTATTGTTATTGTTATTGTTATTGTTATTACTATTATTATTACTATTACTACTATTACTACATCATCATCATCATCATCATCATTATTATTATTATTATTATTATTATTATTATTATTATTATTATTATTATTATTATTATTATTATTATTATTATTATTATTATTATTATTATTATTATTATGGATCATCGCACAGTCAGCCAGATGTTCAGACTGGATTTGGCATTTTTGTCTGCCTATCGAGTCCTTACCCAGGACCTGGGATAGGCAGATGTGGATGTTTGATGGTATTACAGATATCGTCGCAGGATGGAAGCAGTTCCTAGTAAGGCCGCCTTTTGCAATTGACTAATGGCGAATTTGTCAATGCCGATGGTGTTCAAGTGGTGCTCCAGTTGTTTTGGGATTGCACCCAAGGCGCTTATTACTATTGGTATTACCCTTGCTTGCCTTTGCCACAGTCTTTCTATTTCTATTTGTAGCAGTAACAACTATTATTATTATTATTATTATTATTATTATTATAATTATTATTATTATATTTTATTTTATTTTTATGCCAACCACTTGAAAGGACCTTTGATCTCGCCTGAATCGCTTCATGAACCTACTGTACAGCTGAAAGTGCTTTTATTTTAATAACCACAGTGGTGCTTTCTAAAATGGTGGGTGTGTCTCTTGAGAGTGCAATTTTGTGATGAGGGTGGCAATTGCTGTAATGCCTCGGGTACCGTTTCGCAAAAGGGAGCATTTGAACTGGGACATGTTAAAGGGAAAATTCTTAGACTGCACCAGTGGCAGGTCAGAAAATATCTGGATCTCCAATAGAAGGTAAAGTATTTGCCACTTAGGGTCCAATTTTGGGTCCTTGGTCTCTCTGCGCTTGGTGGTTGTTAATAATAGTAGTAGTAGTAGTAGTAGTAATAGTAGTAGTAGTAGTAGTAACAACAACAACAACAACAACAACAATAATAATAATAATAATAATAATAATAATAATAATATAGAGTTGGAAGGGACTTTGGAGGTCTTCTAGTTCACCCCCTGCTCAGGCAGGAAACCCTATACCAGGGGTCTGCAACCTTGACAACTATGCTGGCTGATGGATTCTGGGAGCTGAAATCCACAAGTCTTAAAGTTATCAAGATTGCAGACCCCTGCCCTATACCATTTCAGACAAATGGCTGTCCAGTCTCTTCTTTAAAACTTCCAGTGATGGAGCACCCACAACCTCTGGTGGCAAGGGGTTCCACAAGTTAATCGTCCTCACTGTCAGGAAATTTCTCCTCAGTTCTAGGTTGCTTCTCTCCTTGGTTAGTTTCCATCCATTGCTCCTTGTCCTGCCTTCAGGTTTTCTTGCAGACATTTCATTACCCGACTTACGACTAGTTGCTTGCGACCATTCAGAGTGACGACCCACCTGAAAAAAGGGGACCTACGACCTGGATTCGAAGTTTTGATGGTCGCACCCCCTGTGGTTGTTTGGGTGTTTGTCAACATGTCCACATGTAACAGCAGTTACTCCTGGTTTTCAGCAACAGTGCACCCATAGCCAACTGTTGGCTCTCTTAATGACTGCGGTATTCCCTTAACGACCGCCTCAAAGAATCTGAAATCACGTCGGGAAAGCCAGATTCAACTAACAACCATGTTACTAACTTAACAATTGCAATGATTCACTTAACCAACAGTGGCAAGGGAATTCGTAAAATGGGGCAGAACTCACTTAACCAATGTTTCACTTAGCGACATAAATGTTGGGCTCCATTTATTTATTTATTTATTATTTAAATTTATATACCGCCCTATCTCCCTTACAGGACTCAGGGCGGTGAACAGGCAATAATAAAAATCACAGAAAATATTACATAAAAGCCTGCTCTAAAATATAAAACCCCTAACAAAACCTAATCAAAACTACGCCAGGCCGGCCGCATGGAACAGATGAGTTTTCAGGGCTCGGCGGAAGAGGTGTAGGTCCGCAATTGTACGTAGGTCGGGGGGCAGGTCATTCCAGAGGGCAGGAGCTGCCACAGAGAAGGCTCTCCCCCTGGGGGTCGCCAGCCGGCATTGGCTGGCCGACGGTACCCTAAGGAGGCCCTCTCTGTGGGAGCGGACTGGTCGAAGGGAGATATTTGGTAGGAGGCGGTCTTGCATTGTGGTCCTAAGTTGAGGACCGCCTGTAGTCACTCTGTCACTTCCTTCGAGGCAATCTATCCAAAGTCACACATTGGAAGACCTCTCCCTGCTCAAGTCACTAGATTCATATATCAGTAGAGACAAGGAATGCGGACAGTCCTTGACTTAACAATCATTTGTTTAGTGACCATTTGCGTGAAACTCTGAAGAACAGTCGTAAGTCCCCTTTTTTCAGGGGCTTTGAACGGTCACTAAGCAAATGCACCCAACTTGAGAAAATTCACAGAAGTAGCAAGAATAACCCAGGTGTCC